CCCTGTCTTGCAGCCACGCACAGTAACAGTGGCAGAGCTCCCGTGCTGGGAGCAGGGCTCCAAGGAGCGTCTCCTCCCGTGGCTTGGACGGGCTCCTGACAGAATTTTTACCAAAGGGATGATGAACAATCCTCTCTCCTTGCCCTCCAACCACTTCCAGGATGTACTCTGAGGGGCTGAAGAGTTTTTGAGAGCTGGCTGTTGAATAATTGCCATCCCAGTCAAACTCTGCTGCCAACCAAGCTTTTACACATAAATCACATCTCCTTTAAATGGGGGATGGACTTGGTGCAGTTTTTTCTAACTTGCATATAACAATGAATTAAAAGATCATAGAGCAGTGTTTCTGGCCAAGAAAGCTTCAGGTTTTTTCTCTGGTGGGAAGCTTATGATTTATCTTGAACTTAGATGTAGGAGTACTTTCTACTATAATATGGTAGTAAATTAATATTATTATAATATAAAATAATATTATTAAACTATTTAAAGAAGTGGAATCTTAGAAAAGATAAAATGCCTAATATACCACTTAGTCATGGTACAATAAAAACATACTGTGTGCATAACAATTATTTCTTTTTATTCTACTGGATATACTTTTGGTGGAGGGATTATACTTTTGGTGGAGGGATTTTGTATGTGTAATGTCCCTTCCCTCTTACCCCAGAAGGTGGAGGAACTGCTGGGACAGGTATCCTGTATAATTTGTATCACTAAACATTTTTGCCATTCCCTGTCCAGTGTAAATTCCACTTGAGGCTTGTCACTGTTGCAATGTAGTTACAAAGTATTTTTCATATGTTGCAGAATTTTAAGAGAAGGGTTTAATGGGGATGCCTAGAAGTCCTTCATTTTTTCTTTATTGATTTTTCTTCATCAGAAAACTAGTTTTAGGAAGAGCTATACATCTAGATTTCAGCTGAGATCATCAGTCTGTCAAACAAACAAATACACAATATATATCTTAAAATACAATAAATAATACTTTTAGTTGGGTGTGGCTTGTCTGAGCATTTGCAGGGATTGACCATTGCTTCAGTTAACCAGTTACTTGCCAGTGTGCTTTTATCTTCAGAGTGAGAGAGTTTAGCTGGGAAGCAGGTGCTGCATTTGGTGTGTCTGTAGTAATTTTTTATCTGAACGTGTTTTCATGCTCTTGAAGAATTGTCTAAGTGGAGACACCGAGATACAACACTGAGATATGCAGCCTCCTTTGTCTGCCTCCTTTGGAAGATTTACCATCCTCCCAAACATCTCACCTGGGCTACCCTGTTCTCTAAATTAAACCTGGTGTGCTCTTATTTTACCATTTACTGATCTGCACTCTGATTTGTGCTCTGGAGGGAAGGATCACTACTTCCTCATGCCAGTCTTGGAAAATGTAGGGGACAATCCTT